CTCCTGTCCTTGGCAGTCCCTTGACTCCAACCCCGAGATGTGTATGTCATCAGAGCACCCGGCGGCAGCTTGGAATTCATGGCCAGGTTCAATATAAATCCTGTCCTGCCAGGGCGGCTTTGCATAATACGTCCCTGAGAAGTCTTTGCCACAGGAGGGGCTGGAAAGGGATTTATTGGGTCCAGGGGGCCTGCACGTCAGGCTGAGCCGCAGCTAAGTCGTGACGGGAGTTTCAGGGTCGAGCCCCTGACGTGACGCTCATGAGGGATGCCCTTGGCCCCAGTGTGCCCCTCCCGTGGTGTGGTGAAGGTTGGAGCCACCCGCAGAACGGTGCTGGACGTCAGGTCTTCCCCATGCGCCAGCCTTGGCCAGGCCTCTTGGACTCTGTGTCAGGGATGTGTGATGGGCTTGCCCCGGTTCGTTGCTGCAGGTTGACCTGGGCTGGCTGCCTAAGAAAACACACTGGTAGGAACACTCCAGTGGGGTGAAGCAGGGTCAGCTAATGAGAGTGCAGATCTGCCGTACAGACAGAGGGGGCCTTTGCTTGTGTCCTGGTATTCCAGGTCGGGGCTCTCCCCAGACCAACATGTCCTGCATCCCTCAGACTCATGGGGCAGCTGGGAGGTCTGGATGGCACCTTGGATTCTTTCACAGTCTGAGGTAGAGCTGCACCTAGACCATTACCTTGGAGAGTCAGATGATGGCATTCTGCTTTTATTTATTTTTATTATTTATTTTATTTGAGTTGGGTTCTCACTCTGTTGCCCAGGCTGGAGTGCAGTGGCATGATCATGGCTCACTGCAGCCTCCATCTCCTGGGCTCAGGCAATCCTTCTGCCTCAGTCTCCCGAGTAGTTGGGACTACAGATGTGTGCCACCACATCCGGCTAATTAAAAAAAAAATTTTTTTTGTAGACTCCTGCCTTGCCCTCCCAAAGTTCTGGGATTATAGGCATGAGCCACCATGCCCGACCTATTCTTCTTCAAAAAAATTTTTTTGACTTATTATGGGTACATGATAGATGTACATTTTTGGGGTCCAAGTGATGCTCTGACACAGGCATATGATGTGTAATAGTTACACTCAAGATGGTTCTTTTATGTTATGTGTATTTACCACAATTAGAAAGTTGAGACAAAAACCCAACTTTTGCCTTTTTTTGGTTCCTCTAAATACTTTGGTTAAGAAATATTATTTTTAACCTAGAGACTGTCCCTCCCAGATTTTGTCTTCCCCAAGTCCATGTGGAGCCATACAATGAAGACCCTTGCCTTGGTCTTAATGGATGTGGGGTCCCATGACCACAAGCACTGACCACTTCTTCGCGTTGGGAACATTCCAATCCCACTCTTTAGTTACTTTAAAATACACATTAAATCATTGCTGACTGCGGTCACCCTGCTGTGCCTGCGAGGACTGGATCTGCCTGCGTCTTTGGGCTTATCGCCCATCCCCGCACTTCCCATTCCACAGCATCCCAACCTCTGTGACCACCATTCTCCTGCCTCCATGGGGTTGGCTGTTCTGATGAGCACAAGGAGGCATGTCTTGTATTGTAGAGGAGGCGCTCCTTCCCCAGTAGGTCCATGTCACCCCATGGAGTGTTCCGTGGGCTTCTTGTAAGATTCAGCGAGGGGAGGTTGGCACTGTGGCATCTTGCAGGACAGTATGAGTTTTGTAGATGGAGAAATGCCAATCTCAAGTGCTGAGGTGACCTAATTAAGGAAATGGCAGATACTCCATCTTGTACTCTGGAGAAGCCACATAGCTTCAAGGTCACCCTGTATCCACGTGGAGGAAGTTGGAGCATCCAAGACCACCTCCCACCCACCACTGCTGCAATGCTTTCACTGGATTGTCTGGGAGGGCATGACGTTTCAGTCAAGCAACCCACACTTTCCATGTGCTTCTACATCCCCAGCTCTGTGGTGGGATGCTGGGCAGTGTGCAGGCATATGGCTCCAGTCCTTGGGATGCTTCCAATGTAATTGAGTGGGAGAGATCAGGAGGGTGGCAGGGATGGCAAACTCCACATGGGATCATGAGTAGCTCAGAGAAGGTGGAGAGCACTGTTGGCAGGGGCAGCCCAGGAGGCTTCCTGGAAGAGGCAGGACTTCAGCCAGCCCTTGGAGAGGCTGGGTCAGCCAGGTCAAGGGCAGAAGGCAGGAATTCCGGGTGGCAGGGAGGACATGGATTGAATACTTTGTGAGCTGCAGGGATAGGGCTGGCTGCTTCCTATATGCAGGGAGGTCAGGGGAGTGTTCATTTGTTCACTCAGAATTGGCTCTGGACATACATTTTATACATTTTGGGTGTGGCAGGATGCCTGTCCTGGGTCAGAAAGCAGCATGGGAGGGATGGTGAGAGAGAGGAGCCAGGTGTGTGACTGGAGAGTTGGGCTCAGGCCCTCTCAGGTCATGGACATGGAGTCTGAAAGAGCATGGGTGGTCTTGAAAGTGGGCTTGGGAGAAGGGAGGCTGGGGTCTGGGGGATGAGAGGCACTGAAGAGCCCACTGGGTGCCTGGCTGGCTGCACTTTGGAGAAGCCTCTTCTTGCCCACGGTGTCCTCTGGCTCTGTACTCCACCCCCGCAGACATGCTCAGGGACCTCATGCAGGCAGTCCGGCTCAGAGCTGGGGTGACCCCTCACTCCTGACAGGATCCAAGGGATTGCACCCCTCAGGCCCACTGGGGCCAGGCAGGTGGCTCCAGCCCGTGTGAGGTTTGGCTTGCCTGTGGGAGACGTGGTGGTTCACTCTGTGCCTGTCCACGTCTGACTGCAGCCACCAGTGCCAGAGGCACTGCTGATGGGAAAATCATTCTATCCCACCTGGTGCCAGCTTCCTCAGGTCCAGGATGTCCACCATTCTTGGAGGACCAGGCCCCAGGGTGATGCTGAAGCCAGCCCACACCCGACCCCACTGGGCACCTCGTCAGCCTGTACCTGTTTCCTTGTCCCTTTCAACAGGATCTAGATGTCATGTCCAGGACCCTCTCATTTGGGTTTTTTTTTGTTAGAAATCCCATATTGGAAAGTGTTTTTCCTCTCTCCTGTTTAAATTGCTTTCTCCGGGCCAGAGAGGTCTCACCATCAACTTTCTTCTGGAGACCACAGTGGCCTTGTGAAGACTTTGGCTAATTAACTTTTGGAGAAGGGCTGCGTGGGTTCATCAGGGACACTGACATCTCTCTTTTCCCCTCATATCTTGAAGAAGCCTTCACATTTTAGTTCCAAATCTGCCAACACCTGGTCTGTTTAAAGTGCCTCCCTGGAGACGAGGCCAAGAGGCTGCTGAATGTCATGTTTTTGCAGCTTCGATTTTTAATGCAGTTGTTCCAGCCTGAGAAAGACTTTTGTGTTTACAGAGGAGCAGTATCCCTCACACAGAGCTCACGTTTAAAATACACACTCCCAGGATGCCCGTTACTCACTGCATTGTGTGTCGGAAAGTGGAGAGCCCTCAGATGCAGCTGGCCTTGCCCGTGCGCGCTTTGGTCGACTTTCTCTGCCCATTTGGGTGGGCGCCGCCGGCCAGCCTCTTCCTCAGCAGCCGGTTCACTTTCTGTCCTCCTGTCTGTGTTGATGCTGCTGGAAATGCACTGGCATGTCAGGAAAAGTCCAATTTGAAATTCTACTGTGTAGATTTCTTTTCTTTTGGCTTCCAGAAGTTTGTTTTGAAAATGGAATTCTGTTCTCTCCACTAGATGAGCTTTAGGGTACAATTTTCCATTATCATTTTTTTGGACGTAATTTTATGGGTTTTTTTTTTCCGCTGAATTTCTGGGTTTGGAATAGGTAACATCTTTTTCAGCGGTCAAGAGATCGTGGAAACCTGGTGACTGTTTCTCACATTGGATACCTCTCTGTCCCGTGTTCGCGTCTGTTCTCTGGCCAGCGTAGCTGCTGTGGGTCCGTGGATGGGGCTGGTGCAGGCCGTCCTGAACAGGTGTGCTATGTTGTCTGGGACAGGCTGCCCCTAGGAGTTCTGTTCTGTGGGCCGTTCGGCCTCAGCAGAAGGTGGCCTTTAAGCAGGTGTAACGCAATTGGACATGTTGGGGAAATGGTCATTTCTGATCTGCCTCATGGTCCTCGTGGCCCGCTTTGGAGGCATTGGTGCCTGTGTGCTCTGTTTTATAGCATCTGAATGGTCCTTACCCCCTAGTTCACTTCCGGCTGTGTGACTGTCATATGTTGACTGTTGTTGGTCTTGGAACAGCCAGTACACTCTCTGAGTGGGCTGTGCCTTCCTTGTGCATGTGACAGTGTCTGGAGGGGGCAGGGGAAGGGAGCCAAGGGTGCATCTCAGACGCTTGGTCACAAGAAATTTCCAGATGATGCCTTGGAAGCTCCCGGGTTCTCTCTCCCACTATGAAGATTTAAACCCTTGGTAGAGTCTGACCCATGGACTTCTTAAAAATAGTGTAGAACAGTCCATTTAAACTTTGCTTTCTAATTGTGATAAAATACACGTAACATAACATCTATCTTAAGTGTAAGGTGGATAGTTGAGTGGTACTAAGCAGGCCCACTTCTGTAGATGCCTTCTCGGTCCCTCTGGGCTTGGTTTCTGTGGGGTGCTTCCGTGATCCTGGGAGTTGGGACTCTTTGCCGGTGGTGTGGACTCCTCCAGAGTGCTGTGGCTGTGACCTCTGAGGAACAGTGTGGCTACTGGGGGTTCTAGAAGCCGGATGTCCTTCGGGTCCCTGCAGAAGGGCCTTGCAGGACCACGTCCTTTCTGGAGCGGGACCGCATACTGTCTAGGACCCGGATTTGTCTCTTACTGGTGGTTTACTCTTGGGGCCCTCAGTGCCTTACTAGAGAGTTTTCGAGTTACCCGGTGGGCTTGGGGTGGGAGGTGCAACAGTTGGAGAGAGACCAGACATTGAGCTGCCTTCCGCTGGCCTTGGTGCTCACCTCTGTCTTCAGACAGCAGAGCCTTGGGAGGAGGGTGGAGACGTCCACCTGTCCTCACCTTCCCCTCTTGTCTCTACAGGCTGGGGGACCAGTTCTACAGGGAAGCCATCGAGCATTGCCGGAGCTACAACTCAAGGCTGTGCGCTGAGCGCAGCGTGCGCCTCCCCTTCCTGGACTCGCAGACCGGGGTGGCTCAGAGCAACTGCTACATCTGGATGGAGAAGAGGCACCGAGGCCCAGGTGAGCACCGGGAGTGCGCACGCGCTGGCGACCAGTGTGCCGGGAGGCGGCGGGCGAGGAGGGGCCGGCTGCAGGGACCTCTGCGTCCCTTCGAGATGCTCAGCCTCCGCCCTCCCCCCCCCGCTCCTGGCGGGGGTCCCGAGGGTATCACTGGATGGGCACTGCAGCCACGTGGCGGGGCGGAGAAGGAGGCCTCGAGACGTGGTTCCCGAGGAGGCAAGACGAGGGCGCGGCGCGTCTCCATTTCCCCTTTGGGTGCCTGTTACAGGCTGGAAAGCCGCATTCGTTCGGCGGAGGCTGTACCTTGTTCAGACCTCACATTACTACATGTGAGCAGTAATGGTACTAGCCGCTTGGGGTTTTGTCTGGATTAAGTGAAGATTTTTGGTAAAAGCTCACAACATGCGTTCCACACACAGTGGGTGTGTGCGCCCTGGGTGCTGGCAGTGACTATGACATCACCACTGCTGTGACACCAGCTTCAGGGGATGGGCGAGGGGTCTTCGCTTGAAGAGGCAACTACAACTACAAATACCAGGGCTGCCAAAAAGTGTATTCACATTTTAAGTGATGTTCGCCATGATCAGAAGTGTCTGGACACTAGTGGTAACCACTTTGAGTAACTCTTGTAATTGCAGAAGTCAAACATGACTTGTACTCATCTTTTGTTATTGGTATAGATTGAGTATTGCAATTTTAATACATTTTTTCTTTCTTAAAATGCATATACTTTTTTTTAGTGCCCTCTGTATATCCATCTCTATGTGGATACATTTCTTTCTTTTTTCTTTTTCTTTTTTTATAAAAAATGGTGTTTTTATTCTTACATGTTTAAACTTCAGTCACTTTCAAAGTAATCTCCATTTGATGCAATACACCCTTCGAGATGCTTTTTCCATTGCTTAAAACAGTTTTTTTTTTTTTGGAGTTGGAGTCTCACTCCGTCACCCAGACTGGAGTGCAGTGGCCGCTCTCAGCCACTGCAGCCTCAATCTGCTGGGCTCCGGCGATCTGTCTGCCTCAGCCTTCCAAGTAGCTGGAACTATAGGCGCGCTCTACCACACCCGGCTAATTTTTTATTTATTGTGGAGATGAGGTCTCGCCAAGTTGCAGTTTTTGAACTCATCAATTTGGATACTTTTAGTGCTTCTGCCGTTTTTTGTTTTGCTTCTACCACATCAACAAAATGTTTCCCTCTGAGGACTTTTTTCATCTGGGGAAGCAGGAAAAAGTTGCTTCAGGGGAGATTACGTGAATAGGAGGGTGGGGCATGGGGGTTATGATGTTTTTGGTCAAAAACTGCTGAACACTCAGCATGGTGTGGGCAGGTACTCTGGTAAATTACCCATCATAAAATAGTCAAATGGGTCGAAAGAATCTCCAAAAAGAAAATTCACTGAGGCGAAATGCAGTCTCTCACAACAATGCTAGCTAGTACACTGATGCCGATGGGGTCCTAGAACACTTACCTAGTGGGAGAAGCCTGTACTACAAGGGATCCATCCTTCTCTATGCTATGCAGATACATTTCTAAAGACTTTTCATCTTGAGAAATTTCACACCCATGTAAAGATGGAGACAGTAGTAAAACAAGCCTCTATGTAGTCCAGCCTCAACAATGGCGAACTCATGGCCAATTTCCTTGCGTTTAAACTCACCCCATTCTTCTCCTGACCTCAGATTATGTTGCTGCCAATCCAAGACAGTACAGTGTTTCATCTGTAATTTTTTTGTTCTGTATCGCTACACAGTAAGAACTTAGAAACAGACTCATAACCACCATCAAAGCTCAAAGAAATAACTAGATTTTAATATCATGAAGTTCTTGGTCAACATTCATTCCTTTGTAGTTTAAATCAGGATTCAAATGGGATCCTACAATTGGTGGATATCTTTCATTTTTATTTTTTGAGTCAGAGTCTCACTCCAGGCTGGAGTGCAGTGGTGCGATCATAGCTCACTGCAGCCTTGACCTCCAGGGCTCAGGTGATCCTTCTGCCTCAGCCTCTTGAGTAGCTGGAATTACAGGCATGTGCCACCACGCCTGCTAATGTTTTGATTTATTGTGAAGGTGAGGTCTCGTTATGTTGCCCAGGCTGGTCACAAACTTCTGGACTCAAACAGTTCTCTCACCTCAGCCTCCCAAAGTGCTGAGATTTTAGGCATGAGCTGCTGTCTTTTAAAATCTGTGGGTTTCTCTCTGTCTCTGTCTCTTTCCTCCTTGCGTGTTATTTGTTGGAGACACTAGATGGTTTGTACCGTAGGATTTCCCAGGATCTGGGCTTACTGGCTGTAGCCTGGTGGCATTATTCCTGTGAACTGGTAGTTAGGTCTACAGACTTACTCAGGCTCAGCTTTTGGCAAGAGTGACTCCTGTGTGGAGGTGGCACTTTCATTTGGAGGCTCAGACTGCCCCAGGTGATGACTGTCTGGATTCCTCATTCCACTAAAGGTTGCAACAAGGCAATATTCAGTGTGAGGCTGTCATTTATGTCTTCATTTCTGAACTTTGCTACTTCCTTAAAGAAAAATATCCTTTCCTTAAAATTAGGGTTATTATGAGGCATGGTTCACATACAAAAGGCAAGGTAAATGAGTTTTTGCTTTATTTACTGGTTTTCAAAAAATGAGTTGGTTCCCTGGCACTCTCCAAAGGCAGTCAACAGTTATGTTTTGAGTGCCATCGTGAACTCACAGATTTAAACATATTTGCTGTACCTCAACTGCGGCAACCTTATCCTCATGGCTGTATGTGTTGTCTGGCCATTGGGGTTCTGACTGGTGCTGGTGCTCTGACCTAAGTCCAGGAGTCTTTGCAGCTCCCTGCATGTCAGGACAGAACACTCCAGGCTCATCGGGGGCACGTCTTGTCCCAGGCCTGGGATCGACTCTTTCTCTGGAAATCCAGAACCTTTTTGTAGGAAAACGAGTTAGAGACCACTGTCTAGGGGTGTCTGTTGCTCCTGGGCTGGTCCTTGTTGTCTCTAGGCCTTCACAGTAAAGTAGGATGTGTTCTTTTCTTTCTCCTTTTAAGAGAAACTACATTATGAAATGATGCCGATGTATCCTACTCAGTTAAATGTTAAAGTTTTTGCTTACCTACCTTAATTATGTGTCTCCTTTCTTCCACATCAAAACCATCCTGGTTATTAACGATCCTGACATCACCTGCTTGCTTTACCCCACCACACACACAGTATTGGAATAATAGTACACTAACAACAACAGAATGCCTGGCAGAAGTTTAAGGTTTTTTTCCTTCTATTTTTTTTTTCAATTCTTTTTATCCTTGGGGATATTCCTTTAGGGATGTGGAGTCAAAATTCCTGTGCTTTACAGTCACTTGAAATAGCTCTTCTATGTGGCTGTGCCACCAACTCAAGACACAGCTGGATTTATTTGTTTAATTTTGCTTTTACTTATCAGGGATTTTTTTTTGGGGGGTGGGATTCATATTATTTCTTCTTTTTAAAATTAACTTTTTATTTTAAAATAATGGTATACCTACTGGAAGTTATAAACAAAATATAGAGAGCTCCCTTACACTCTTCACTCACTGTTCCCCAAGATGGACACATCTTACAATGTCAGCACCAGAAAACCGATGTTAGTAACATGTGTATGGAGCTCTGTGCCATTTTATCACATGCATAGATATGTGTAACCAACACCACAATCAAGAATCAGAACTATTTTACCACCACAAAGAACTACTCCTTTAGAGTCACACTCACTCCCACACCATTTAAATCCCTCTACCCTCCCCTAGTTATAATATGGTTGTCTTAAACACTTCCTCTACAGGCATTGAAAGCCACACCAGACAGTGTTAGAATTTTTTGCTTTAAACATAAAACATAATTTAGAAAACCTAAGAGAGGTGTTTATTGTATTTACCCATGTTTTTATTCCTTCATTGCACTTTTTTCTTACCTGATGTTCTGAAATTTATCTTTTCTGATGAAGTGCTTTCTTTAGGCATTCTTTCAGAATAAATCTGCTAAAATGAAAACTAATTTCTTAGTTTTCCTTCATCAGAGATTGCCTTGATTTTGCCTTTATTTCTGAAGAATATTTTTGCTGGATATAAAATTCCAGGTTGACAGTCCTTTTATTTTAGCACTTGGAAAAAGATTTTGCCCCTTCCTTATAATGGTTTGTGATGATAGATCTACTGTCATTCAAATGGTTCTTTCTGTGGAAGTTAGGTACCATTTCTCTCTCATTGCTTTCAAGACTTTTTTCTCTGTCTTTAGTTTTTGGAAATTTTATTTTGATGTATCTTGGAATAGATTTCTTTGGGTTTATTCTGTTTGAGTTTACTCAGCTTCTTTAAATGTGTAGGATTATTTTTTTTGCTGAATTTGGGAAAATTTCAGCCATTATTTCTTTGAATACAACTTCACCCTCTTTCCCCTTTCCTTCTGGGACTTCAACAGCACCAATGATAGACCTCTTATTATAGTCCCACATATCCCTGAAACCATGTTCACTTTGTAAAAAAAAATCTATTTCCCTTGTTGCCCAGCTTGTGGGATTTCTACATTTCTGTCTTCAAGTTCACTGCTGCTTTATTATATAATCTGCATTCTGCTTTGATCCCATTCATTGAGATTTATTTTGTCCTTTTTGGTTATTATTATTACTATTATTTTTAATCAATATTTTTTATTATGATATTGTGGGGTGCAGTTAAGGGTTAGGTATACAAATATGCTGGTTATTATTTTTTTTAGGTTCTCAGATTTCTGTTTGGTTCATCTTTATGCTTTCTTTTTCTTTGCTGAGACTTTAAATTTTATCCTTTGTTTCACATGTTTTAAACTATTGAAACATTTTTGTGATAGATGCTTTCAAATTCTTGTAAGATAATTTAACATTTGTATTGTTTTGTAGTTGACATTTATGTCCTTTCTTATTTAAATTGAGATTTTCCAGTTCTTCATATGGATTGTGATATTTTGGTCATTATAAGACTCTAGATGTCATTTAAATCTCTG